AGACTCCTCAGCCAGGAAGATAATTTTGTCTGCAAAATGTTACTTAGACTGGGGAGGACAGTACTTTTTGAAAGAGCGATATTTTGGAGGAAATAGAAAGGAGACAACAGGAGATTGCTGTAGGAATAAAGAAGGAAAAAAAAACACAACAGTGAAGTTTAATGATTTTGTGTTGAAAAAACCCTACAGTGCCTTGAAAGTGGGAAATAGCAAGAGACTGGGTGAACTAGGATAAGGCTAAGTTAAAAAAGATCCTGAAGCCGTGTGACAAAGATGCAGTTAGCACAAGTAATGAAGAAAATGGGACAGCAAAGAGCTGGAGGAAAGGGAAAGGTAAGCAACACATTTATATATGATTTGCACGTAATACAAGAAATATGAGACAATAGAGAAGCTGTTTTAGAGAGAAGGCTGGAATTCAGGAGTTGCAATGCAGAAGTCATAGTGTTGTAAAATGAAGTTATAAGAGTAAATAGCTTCATCCAAAGATGGAACAAAACACATGAGAAGGGCTGGGACAAGGCCCTTTGGAGCAGACTATTCCAGACTATCCTGGGCAAGCACATTATTAAATGGAAATGCAGTGAATTGACCGTATTTTTCATTCTTTGTCCAATAATGCTTTATCATGCTTACCTGTTTTATTTTGATTTAACTTGTGTTTGAAAAATCCTTCATGTAGAATTAGACTTCAGTGTAAACTTCAAATTGACATTCTTTCAGTCTGGGTTAGCTGACCTACTGCAGAAAATAAGCATGTAGAAATTTGTATCTACATAATATGGAGCTGATATTTCCTCCACTCCTTAGCATTCTCTTTAGTTAGTGTGTCTGCAGCACTTCCTGGAATACTTCTTCCCTGTTGCCGGGTGTAGAAAGTACCAACTGGACTTACTGTGCTAGTATTGGGTTGAAGGGCGTGATAGTAAGATGAACAAAACATTCCAGGACTTTGTTGTATTAAGTACACAGACTGTGTAAAAACAAAAATAGAAAAGGTGAAACAGATTATTTAATGAAAAAATAAATTTAAATGGAAGTCGGCACCTGATGGATTCTTACTCTTAGTTTAAAACCATACTCAGTGGGATAAGTTAGTGCAGAAAAAAATATTTTTAATATCTAAAAAAAACATGGCAGGAAGTCAATGAGAAGTACTTAACCTCTTCAAACAAATTTCACAAGCATCTAACAGATCTCCAACAATTATTTTGTTTAATTTAACTTGCCATTTTAAAATTAGCACATTGCTAAGACAGAATTTCCTTCTTAAACCAAAATCCTGCTGAGAATTCATTTTTTGTTACTACTTTTTGCCCCAGCATGAACCAATGACATTCCTCCAGATCTCCTTGAACTTCTGGTGAATTGGATGATCTCTACTTGGAAGGAAGGCCGATCATTGAGAGGGTGATGGAGATAAAGAGGAATTAATCTCACCTGTCACACAGACCTCTAGGGAGCATGTGTTCACATCACGTGGCACAATGGCAGTTGTTTCAGGAGTCATGTTTAGCCTGTAACTGTGTCCACCCCTGGCTGAGAGACCCAGCTGGAGACCTCCATCCTCACCTAACCCTGCTCAGCAGATGTCTGTGTTGATCAGCTTTGCAAAGTATCCGTGTATGGCTTTGGTTCCTCAACTCTGCAGTGGGGCTTTGTAATGCACCTCTATTCTACTGGGCATTGTAAGAATTTATTCAGTAACGTCCGTAAAGTTACTGGGGAGATGTAGAAAGAAAATGCTGCAGACTTAGAGTGACGTTTTTCTTTTGCATACCTTCATTTGTGAATTGCTGCTGAATGGAACGTGACAGTCAATGTTGATTTAAAATGGAATGAAAATTATTTCTTCTTCTTCAAGGCATTTAGGCTTCTGAGCTTACAAGCCCTAGATCAGGGCTTGTGCAGTTTCATTTGTATATCTGCCTTGGCATCAGAGAGTTTGGAGGTCCTGGGAATTTGTGTCCAGAACTGTCTCTGTGTGAATCTGAGGCCAGGTTTGCAGCCTTTTCAGTTCCCCTTTGGTTACCCAGATGAGAACTGGAAACCTTGGCTGCTCAGACATTGGCAGCCTAGGAAAAGGCTCAGTTTCCTATTAATACTTACATTCAGTTGGGAATCCATTGAAATTAGTATGCTTTCACAGCTTTTTTTTTATCTTGATGAACTGGATTTTCCAGGAGTACAGCTTGCCACCAGCAAATGTTCAATCAGCTTTGTATTGCCACGGTACCTTGTGAAGATTTTAAAATAGCATTTTTAATTCAGTGGTTTAGTTTTCTGCCTGAGGAACTGACCAGCATTCTAGATGAGGGTTATAGTACAGTTTTAATTAATTTTTTAAAATTATGTTTATCACAAGAGAGACCATCAGATTTTTAAAGCTAATTTTCTTTCTTTTAGAATTTTCTTGTGTTTTTGAAGGTCCAGTTCTGGGCCCCTCACTTCAGGAAAGATAGTGAGCACTGGAGTGGGTCCAGAGGAGAGCAATGAGGGTGGTGAAGGGACTAGAGGGAAAGTCTTATGAGGAGAGTCTGAGGGAGCTGGGTTTGTTTAGCCTGAAGAAGAGGAGATTCAGGGGGGACCTTGTCACTCTCTACCACTACCCGAAAGGCAGGTTGTAGTCAGGTGGGGCTGGGCTCTTCTCCTAGGCAACTAGTGACAGAAAGAGAGGGCATGGCCTGAAGCTGCACCAGGGGAGGTCTAGGTTGGATATTAGGAAGCATTTCCTCATGGGAAGGGTGATCAGACATTGGAATGGACTGCCTAGGGAAGTGGTGGAGTCACCATCCCTGGAGGTGTTTAAGGAAAGACTGGATGTGGCACTTAGTGCCATGGTCTAGCTGATGTGGTGGTGTTAGGTCATAGGTTGGCCTAGATGATCTCAAAGGTCTTTTCCAGCCTCAATAATTCTGTGATTCTGTCTCCTGCCATCAGCCCCTTTTGTTGGTTTCAGGGGATGAGGCCAGGTTGTAAAGGTGGGGGATTGACTGTACATTTATCTTAGGGGAGGTCAGAATTTATAATTCTTTCTCTGTGCTGTAGCCCCCCAAATGAGCAAATCTGCAGCAAGGCTGCAATCACAGTGTGCTTCTACGGGTCACAAATAGATAGATGCCTACATTGTAGAAATGTACACATGTTCTAGCCATCTCAAATCTTTACAGAAACAAAGAGAAAAAGCATTCCTAGCATGAGTTTAATCTCACTAAAGGAAATATCTAATGAGAGCTGCTTTTACTGCACCACAGAAGTGTCTGCTTTTTGACAAGCTGAGACATAGGTGATGCAAGACCCCATCTTAACACTCAGACTTTGTTTTTAATGGAGCATTTTGATTTTGCTGAAGGTTGGGCTTTCTTCTTTTTCTCTCACACATGGCTGTTGCAAGGTACCAGTAATGCTTCTGTGCTGAATCGGAAAACCTGGAGAAATTTTGCAGTCATCACTGAATTCGCTCTTATTATCCTTCATTGCTTTGTTTAGTTGAGCTGATAAGTAAGTTTGACAGATGTGTCCACTGCTCCAGAAATCCTGCTGGCCATGGCAGCATTCCCTAGAGTTGGCTTAGGAGCTCGCACTGTTGCATTTAAGTGCTATTCAGAAGCAACCTGTGCTACCAGCTAACACATGCCACTGTTTGTGCCATTAGCCAGCTGGGTGGCTGAATTGTATGTTCTTTGCCAGCCCGGTGCCATACAGCCTTTTGGTAGAGACGGTTGGTGCTTAAGTCAGTCCAAAAGATAGCTTAGTTTGCCCTCTGTTGTGTGCTGAGGATTCACCCTACTTCACTGTTTCACTGAAAAGAGGGTCCACTTTATTTCACCTTTTACTCCTCTATCCACTTTGATGCCATGTAATCACTCCGTGAGAGTATTTTCTGGCTGTTTGCAGTGATCTGTACCACCATTTTTAAGCCCTAGCAGAAATTAAAATAAACAAAAGAAAGCTGAGGCTTACCCTTATTTGTCTTGATCTATAAACATGTTCTCTCTCTGCAGGTCTCAGTCAGTTGTGGATCCAGGGGTACTGAAACGCATGGATAAGAATGAGGAAGAAAACATGCAGCCTTTGCTTTCACTCGACTAACAGTTCTGAGCATCAGACACGAACTGAGGTAGAAGGTACTGCCTCTCAGCAGCAAGCAAACCATTGGGAAAAGTGTACCAGCTGGAAACCTATTTACTCATATTAATGTAGCATAATGGCAGCAGGCAGCAGGTTTTACTATTCTGCCTGAATTCTGGATGCCCTGGGATGAAAAAGAAGAGGAGAAAAAAGAAAAAGAAAATGAAATTAAAAATAAAGAGGAATCATTAATTTATTCTGTAAGTGCCAACTTGTTTGTAAATACAATATAATCCTCCAATTTGACTTTGTAAGTTATGGGAAACAAATGCTGTGGAAATGAGTGACTTAAATATGTCAGTGAAGTGCACTGTAAAAAAACAGAGAAGAAAATGTGACCGTGCTCTCTCTCTCTCACACACACACACACAGAAACACGTACTGGACAAGGAAAAATATCAAAGCCAATTAAATGTTGGCCTTCTCACAGGAAGCCATATTGCAGCTAGCACATTGACTGCTATTTTGTTTTCTCTGCAATGCTGATGTAGAGGGCAAAGATAAAGAGGGAATATAAGAACTTGGAGATGCTGTAATCAGGCAAATATTTCCTAACTGTAGAAACTGATTTCCCAGATAACATTATGGCTTAGGATAGTGATTTAGCATAAACCATGTAGCATTGTGAAAAAGATAACAGATGAGCTGGGATCAACTCTTTGACAGTTTTGTTTTTTCACTGTATGTATCTGTGAGGTTTCTTCCTTAACTTTTCATTTACAGTTTGCAAGTAACCTGGCTTGTTACCCTAACTTAGATGTTGTAATGTGGGACACATTGGAGTTACTTCTCTTGCATTTTGGATGCATGTCAATAATTTTTCCAGAACTCTGTTCTCCCTTGGAAATAGCTCTCTAAAAACAGTGTACTAACTGGTATTCAAAAGTAAAGCCTGGCAGCAGATGTTGAAAGTTAATCACTGAATCCTGTGCACTGGGAGACTGGATACATATATATTTTTACCAATCTCTGACAAGCATACAAGGTGACATTGTTAGACAAGTATAATTAATTGAAGGTTTATACAATAAAACATACCTATTTGATGTACTTAGATATAATATAGAATGTATATTGAGACAATGTCATTATTAACATAGTAAACTTGCCATAGAACAACAGCATTCCGCTCCAAGTAAAGATTTAATATAAATAAATCGTAATCAAATGTCTCAGCCTATGTGTTTAGGACACTTTTGTTTTGGTTGTAGTGTAACTGTATATATTGAACATGTGCCATAATAGAGAAGTACATTTTACCTCAAAAGGGCAACAGGTTTCACTAAGGATTGGGTAAATCAGCAGAAATGCAGAGGCTATGTCATCTTTGTTACGTGCTGGCTGATGCATGTGCAGCCTGTTGAATGCTGAGGCAAGAATGTAATTTCTTATTAGGACTAAACTCTTCAATTAGAGTGAGGACACAGGGTGCCCACCAAGACATCTGAATAGTTGGAGGCATTGCAAGAACATGTCTGGGCAATGCAGGGATTAGTTAGTAATTCACTGACTGTGGTGCAGGAGATAGCTCACAGCAACCACATCTCCCAAGCACCAGAGTTTATAAAGAATTTCTTCTGTCACTTCAGTGATCACTGAAGTTTCAAAGTCACCAGTTGTGGGTCACCTCTTCTTACCCAGCTGTGAGATCCAGTAGGCTGGGATGAGTTAAGAGAGAGCAGAGTGTGAAATGCTGGAAGAGTGTGGTCTTAGAGTTTAGCTGTAACTTCCGCAGTGGCAGCTTTGGCATTTCTCAGGGCTGAGACAACCCTGTCTCTTCCAGCATCACCCTTGATTAGCCCAGGCAGCACACAGATAAAACTTTCCTACTTTGCATTTCATTAGCAACACTGATATATAGTGTATGCCCCAACAGGCAGTTGCCTCGCAGGAACTTGTCTGAACAAGTCATTGCCTTTCTGCTCTCCTAATAACTTTTTTCTTGATGCTTGTTATGAAATGCAAAAAGAGCCTGAATGTCTTTTCAGTCTGTCCTACAGGTTCTCAGTAGTAGAAACTGTTGTAATACTACTTCTGTGGTTTGAGAAACTTGAAAGATTGATGAATTCTTATGAACTATTTTATTCAGTCCTATTTTTTGCATACCTTGTAACATCATGCTGGATAGGTGAGATGTGTCTCTAGGATTTGTAAAAGTGCCATATTTAAATGTATGTTATATGTGCCCACATATATAGTTAGTGGAATAGTACTTCACCGTTGATCTGATTTTTAAATCTTTATCAGAATAACTCTCTAACAGTAGAAATGTTCTTCTTGTAAGGGCTTCGAGATTTAGTCAGTATTCCATATGTACACAAACTGTGATGCAGTGGTCATCTGAATCTTCATGGATGCTTTTGGATACATGGGCCAGACCTTGGTGTAAACCAGCACAAGGCTGATTTTAGAGTACATCAGCTGACTGGTCAGAAAATGCAAATACCTCTTACATCCCCACAGAGCATCTTTGTAGAAAATCATATCTGCTCAACTGTGTAAAGCTTAAAATTTGTTTTGAAGTTTATAAATTTGTTTTGTTTGCAAATCCTTTATTTATGCACTTAGCTGTAATTTATGTCATGTTTTCTGATGCCTGATTTCAGCTTCAAGTTAATGAGTATTAATATATTCTTTCCAGAAAAAGAAAGTAGGATATATTATAATTTTGTGTAACTGGTACCTCATCTTTCACCAAGAACAAAACTACTTTTTCAATAAGATCCTCGCTGTTGAAGAGTTGGGCTACGGGTCTTCTTGGCCGCAGCTTTTATTTTGCTGAAACAAATTCTGACAATAGTAACTGCAGTTGTGACATTGGATGAGAATATGAAAATGGGTAAGAAAAGTTATTATCCTTTACTTATTTTTCAAGACATTTATCTTTTACACATCAGGGTATATAAAGGGTTACCACCTTTCCCTTGCTTCTTGTAGAAAATCTTTAAAGGTAGGTCAATTTTTAATATCTTAAATTTGGACTGAAAACTTTTTCCAATATTTATTATCATAGAAATTGATGTATACTTTTTATAGCAGAATTTAAGTGCTAAAAATAGAATTCAAGTGCTCGGGAGGAATTCCTCTTAATTTCTTACCTTCATTGTATATTGGATAGAATAAACCTTGTGGTAATTGTGCATGCTGATATGCATATAAAAAGAATATCCTGCAGTATGGGGAACTTAGTGGAAAAACTGGATACACCTGTCCAAGCAACTAAGTGACGTAAAAAGGGGAGGGGAAAAAGCGTAACATTTGATAGTTTGTCAAGATCTGAAAATATCCCCTTACATGATGTCTCTTCCATGAAACAGATGTTTAAAAATATAAGTTGTGGAAATTTACACGCCCAAAGCCTTCCTCCTCTCATAAGACATGCCTTTAGTCTCTTGACCTTTTAAAGACAGGTAATCAGTCCCACTAAGCTCCAACAAATACACAGGCTCCTTATACTTATTACTTGTAAAATAGCTTTAAGATGTCTTTACAGAGATGTAAATTTACTGTAAAACATATTTAAGAAGATGTTTTGCACTCTGCAAACATGCTACGCCTAGTCAGAAAAGATACCTGTAGAGATATACATAATCTAAATACAGAAATAAAGAAAATAGAAGGGACCTCAGGAGGTCATTGATTTGTGGAGAAGCAGATTCACTTCAGTGTGTCTCTTAAAGAATTGCTTTAGCTGAGTACCTTGCATGGAATGCTCTTTGTATTATTTAATCACAGTCACAAGAAAGCCTAAGTACCTTACCTGACAAAACGGTAATCTGACAGTATTTTGTTCATGCCTTTTATTATTTAGCTGCTCTGTTTGGGAAATTAAAAAGTTTGCCAAGTATCCTAAGAATTAGCATTTAGAATTACCTGGGAAACTATTTGCAATAAGTGTTGTTCATGTCCCTGTTCTTACATCGTTTCTGTTATTATCATTATATGTATTCATCAAAAATTTTAGAAAAAGTCGTGTTTGGAAGAGCATTGAAGAGAGAAAAAAAATAAAAATCAGGCTTCAGGATTTTGTTTAGAATACTAAAATAGGATTTGAAGGGGCACTGGGTATGGTTTTGATAATTTTTACTTGCCTATAGGGAACACCCTGCTGAGCTATCAACAGTGTTGGAAACCAAGACAAATTTGGAAGATAAATATCAATGTGAAAAGCAAAGGATTGTACTGAAAAATCACTTAATTATCTGGCTACCTGTATTATGTCCTTCTAAAGAAAGACATTTTGCAAGTAGCTTATGAGTGTATTTTTGGTGCTGAGAGTAGTACTTTTTTTCCAAGTTCAAAGCACACTGTGAAATGAAGAAAATAACTGTTATCTTATTTCTCAGGTAGGAAAGCAGAAACATGACCAGTTAAAAAGATTAAAATCTCAATGGAAGGCATTCACATTGTGTTTATATATGGCAAAAATGACACTTTAATCACTCAGTCTAGTTTGAATTCCAGGAGAGAAAAAAATGTGTGCAGTAAAGAAGTTTGAGCTTCGTCAGGGAGGATCTCCTTTTGAGGGCCTTGAAGGATACTTAATTCCCATTAACTATATAAGGAGCATGGGCATTTTATTTAGAGGCACACTTAAGTGACCACAAATGTAGGTGCAAGCCACGTAGGTAGGATCTCACATCCTGTATTACCTTGTAACCTTGAATGATCCCATGTAAAGGGTCTGTGTAATTGGACATACTCTTCGGTCTGCATTTCAGCTTTCATTGTGTGGGAAGTTTTTCTTATCAGCTTTTGGTATCTTAATTTGTTTCCTTCATACGGGTTTTTTGCCACAAAATGACATTGACCCCTGTTGGATTGCACAGTTTGCAAAGTGACTTTGTTGTTAAGAAATAACTTCTAGTATGCTGGGCAGTGATGAAGGTGAAACACACTTTGACAACTACTTTGTCATTCTCCAGTGTTTTTTGTGTGTAAACTGCATTACTTGATAACAGACATGCCAAACTTGCGTGATATGAGTTTAAAAAGAACCAAAAAAACCCACAGAAGAGAAGCTTCTGCAGTGAGTTCAGAATCTGAGTTGATGGTATTGCTGTGGAATCCAAATGGAGGGGAAGCACAGCACACAGGCAAAATACAGAAATCTCCAATGGAAAATACTGATGGTTCCTTATGGCACACAATTTTGTTAAAATATGGCCA